GCTCACCACCTTCGTGTGTGCACCCCCGATAAGGGGAGATAAGCGGCTGATAATGCACATATTAGGCCGATAGGGGGAGATAAGTGGCTGATAAGAGGAGATACGTGGCCCATATCTGCATTAGAGTAATTGGTTGAAATTAAGGAGGTAATTAGGGCTTAGGTATCTAAAGTTCAAATTGAGGACGCAACTAAAGGCTTTGGTAACCCAAGGTTCAAATAAATCAAATAATTCACAAAAATAAGACTTTCAAACTCAGATTTTATTAAGAAACGTAGAACATTAAGTGTTATCTACATGAATATCCGATCATAATTTTTATAAGAAAAGAAAATCAATGCACGAAATGAAACTCAAAATTAACAGAACTAATACATTGATTGGCGTTTATAGAAACAAGTACTGTATTTACTTTAAGCGAAGTTGTATCAAGTGGAATAGTAGCTTCTATAGTCTAGTGCATAACATAACGTGCATATAACGTATAGTCTAGTGCATAAACATAAAGATGACTTCTAGATATACGGTCAAAGCACTACGTATATTAACTAAATAATTAGTGGTACACTTGTTTCATTTAACTCAACTGCCGTTAGTAATCTTACACTTAGATTAATAAGACATTCTCGAAATATTATACCGATGTACTTCCTGCCTTCGTGTAGGTTGTAATAACCCAGTTTACCCAATGATAAAAGGCGGATCAGTGATGATCGAAAAATGCCAATATATAGAATATATTGCCCCATCAATTTTTCTGAATGTAAATGTTCCAAAAGCCACCCAAGTGCATCACTTAATATAGATCACTATTACACCTCGATTCACCGTACCATAAACACACAATAGCAGTGCAGAGCACTATAATGATGACGTCATTATATTTCTTTTTCCCCAGAAACTAGCCATTGCTCTTAAAGTCGTTAACAAAGTTTCTCAGTATTGGTTGACAAATCGTGTCTAGTGATTAACCTCGAGAACTGGTAACATGCACACAAATCCATCGACTTGCAGCTATGGTTCATAGCTATGTATCGTTAACACTAACAGAAGATTAATAATGTTAGCTTTCCCTTAATGGCATTTAAAAAGGCAGCAAATTCTTTCCACGGTTCCTGCGTAATATAGTCAAAATATACCTGATAAAAATTGAAATCACTTCAAAGGTTACCTCATTTTGGCGTAGCCAGAATAACAAAGTGACCGACGCTATAGTAACGAACATTTAATATTGAACGAAAACGCCCAGGTAATCGACATTCGCAACCAAGATGCCCCAATTTTATAAAAAATCAGCCGTTATTATAAAGAAGTTCACTTCAATCAGAAACTTTAATGACGCAAGTTGACTGCGATCCTAAACTTTCAAAGTTGAATTGAACTCTTTAACGCTCATGAATTTAATGAAGCTCATGAATTTGATGAAGCTTTAACGCTTTAGCGCTCTTTCAAACAACCATGAAGCGAGTTTTATACCACATTTTTGCTCGTGAACGTAATATATTATTAATTTGTGGCACGAAATGTGAACCTCTGCTCCGCCGGAGCTCTTGATATGATATATTATAAGGTACAATTTATGTTCAATTAATACATAATCAATATCCACGCAAAAATTAGTAAAATTTTGGAAAATTGAGGAAAAAAAACTGCAGGAAGATCAAGTTCTGCAAGATGGCGGCCGTGATACAAAAACCAAGTGTAGGCCACCGCACGGCCTGCACCTGACGCCACAACAGCCATCTTATTGACCTTCCTTCTTTTTTCTTTCTGCTACAAAGTTCAACCGCTTTCGCTAAAACAACCGACAATTCCGTGTAGAGATTTTGCAATAATCGAATATCTATTGTACTTTATAATGTTGGAGTGCTTGTCTCACTAGCACTGGACCAATGCACGTATGTCAAAAACTGACTCACTCATTTCTCTGACCGTGATGAATATCACCAATTTATAGCCAGAAATTCACACGTTATGAGTCACACGTTACGATTAACATATAAAAAAAAATAAATTCGCACGTTACGATTCACAAATACAAAAAAACAGCACACGCATCCTTAGTGCTGCTCGCCAACAATACGTAATAGAGTTAGTTGTAATTATATGGTTTCATATGAATGTTAATAACTATGTACCACGGATATAGAAATTATTAACTAATGAACCGAACTCTAATGGATAGAAAGCAATATTACTACATTTTCTTACTCTAATTATATTCTAATCAAACCGACTAATTTTTAAGTCTTAACTTAATACTTGTTTAAATCTTCAACTTAATTATTAATTGTATCTCTTATTTATCAAACATTAATGACATTTATATCGTCCAGCCCGCAGAAGCTAGCAAGAAAGAGGCAGCGTAAGCAACTCCTAGAGACGAAGTGACAAGGAGGGACAGGTGAAAAGCAACAGAAACGAAGACACCCGAACAAGAGGTCGCTTACACGGGACGTCGGCCGCCCGCACGAGAGAGACAAAATAACTTAATGTAAGGAATCCTACCTACATAATAACTTAATGTAAGGAATCCTACCTACATAATAACTAAACCTCACAACTGAGACCTGCCCCCTGAGTACGCAATCCCCCTGGGTACGCGAAATCATATTGGGCTTTTGACAAGCACTGACACATGTCAGAAGTCCCCCTTGGAGATGGTCGCTAAGTAGGCATCCTAGTAAGTGCAGGAGATCCTAGTCCTATAATTAGGATGCGTGACCGATGAGGAGAGATACTAGCTCGATAGGCGAGATACATCCCCGATAATTAGGATACGTGACCGATGAGGAGAGATACTAGCTCGATAGGAGAGATACATCCCCGATAATTAGGATACGTGACCGATGAGGAGAGATGCTGGCCCGATAGAAGAGACAAGTCTCAGATAATTTGGGTACGTGACCGATAAGTGAATATTCTCGATGGCAAAGGGAGAATCGTCCTCATATTACCTAGCAGAGTGACATGATGCACCAAATGCGTCACCTAGATGCGCCATCGTAACACCGAGGCCGTATGTTGTACTAACACCAATACATTAACAGTAGACTAGTTAATCCTCAAAAGTCTTATAACTGAAATTAAGACGCAGAAGATGCCTTAAAGAATATAAGGAAGTGTAAACAATTCTTCGAATCGATGTATCACAGAACCGTTAAAATCTTGACGACTGCCACAGTAAAGAATAGACGTAATAATAAACTTGATTATGGAGGACATGTTGCCAGTAATTAATGTAGCGATTCAGCTATATAGCTATAGCTATCAGCGATTGATTGATCATAGCTTTATGTATGGTTATATATAGCTATCAGCGATTGATTTTCCTCTAATATATTTATAATCATACCAGTAATAAAATTATAGAGGATATAAAGCGGAATCAGAGTGTGCAAAATGAATATAGAAGCATAAATAATAAAATTGTAAAAATATAGTATTAGATACATACCTTCTCAACCTTCCATCTAAATAATAGAGAAACTTCAATGCACCTCGTATAAGAGTAAGTTCATAATTTCAATTTGATTCAATTTTATTAAGTGGAACGTCACGTCACGAAACACAGCTGAACCCATTTCATCTAAAAGCTTATCTTTCCATGAACATAATAAAAGCTTATTCTTATATATATTCAATAGCTTATTCTTATCCATGAAGTATCCACGCCCTGCACATCAACGTATTCGGTAATACAGAGTTAACATTTCAGAGCAAAATCCACGCTAAACTAACATTTTGCGTAATAACCGTTAATTGATATTATTACAGGTATTTGCCTCTCATTCATATAATTCCTGCTATCGCCTACCGTCGTTGTAGGTAAGCAACGGCCTGAAGCAGAGATCGTGTTGCCTGCTACGAATTTTCTTTAGTTAACCACAGCATTGGAAATTACAAAGAAGCGTAAAATGTATAATAAACAAAAGTGGTCGATATGAGACAAGAGTGTTTAGTTAACTATAACATTGGAAACCATAAAGAACCTTAAAATATATAATATATAAAAGTGGTCCATATGAGACCAGAGTCTGTAGTTAACTATAACATTGAAAACTAAAAAGAACCTTAAAATATATAATAGACAGGGGTACGCAGCCGTGCACCACCAAATTTGTGCACCAATCAGCCTTGAAATGAACGACTAGCATATTTCCGGATGACAACCAATCAGCCACGGATTAAGCCATCCGTCGGTAACCAGCCCGTGACATCATCTTGCTTTGAATATTAGGAGCTTTACGCCACCATATTCTGAAGCGAATAGCCCAGAGAGTAATGGTTATGCACCACTGAACGTTACATCGAATCATCACTTCACAGCTTGACTTTAGCTCGAACTGTAACTTGCGGACAAAGGACTGCGACCAACCAGCCCAGGTCGCCAGGGGAACTGCATTAATCCTACCGTGCACCGCCAGACGGTCACTTTTAGCTCACAACTTCCGGGGTTAGGTTTCAGAAAGCATTGTTCTGTTCCAAAATTGATCGTCGTACGACGCGTGGCCGTTCGACCGTAGGCTGATTCGAACCATGGGACAGAATCCGACAGATACGGACGGCTCCGGCGTGCTCCGTCCGGGTGGTGTAAAATGTTTTCGCGTATTGGCAGACGACGCTGGGCCCTTCTACGTCAGGCTGTTTTCCTGTAGGCTGATTTATTGATCCAATTCAAAGGATGTGATCTGTCTGGTGGCTTATGGCTGAAAATGTTACAGTCAGAATTGTTGTAGGCTAAGTTCTTCAGGGTAGGGATCATGATAGTCCATTCGAAGCACGGCAGTGGCCGTCTCTGACAGGCGTCCCATAGACAGGAGTGGTCGATATGAGACAAGAGTGTTTAGTTAACTATAACATTGAAAACTATAAAGGACCTTAAAATATTTAATATGCAAGAGTGCTTAGTTAACTATAACATTGAAAACTATAAAGAACCTTAAAATATATAATATACAAGAGTGGTCGATATGAGATATGAGTGAAAGACGTCGCACCTTCATGACGCGCATGGTGTCCAGGAGGCCGAGGAGCTTCTTGACGCCCACGAAGACCTCGCCGTGAGTGATGTGTCTGCACACCTCGTCTACCTGTGAACATGAGGTACGTCAAGCTACGTAACATATTCCTGTATTAAAATATAAAATATCAACTGTTACATGAGGCACGACAACTGTATTACGGTGCTCTGATTGGCTGCCTCACGAAGACCTCGCCGTGAGCGATGTGTCTGCACACCTCGTCCACCTGTGAACATGAGGTACGTCAAGCTACGTAACATATTTCTGTATTAAAATATAAAATATCAACTGTTACACGAGGTAAGACAACTGTATTGCGGTGCTCTGATTGGCTGCCTCACGAAAACTAGCCGTCCGTGTTCCGTAGAGTATATGTGGCGGAGCACGAGAAAAAAAGCAATACAGTTTCATTTCATATTGTTTAGAACGTTTTCAGTCATCAATTTTGCAGTCAGAAACCAACTACTTCGATGCGTAGAAAGAATCGCGGCATAATTAAGATGGAAGACATCTAAAAATTAAATTAATAAATAGAGGCCAGAACTCATTGCATCGAAGGAAATTCAGGTTATGCAGCCATACACAATAATTCTCTTCGACTCCAAGTTTTTCATTTCGACTCCAAGTTTTTCGTTCGATTAGATGTTTACGAGTATTACGTGATTGATGATCAGCGTTTCATATATCTCAAAGCCACTTACTTTGTCAATTGATTAAATAAACAAATGTTTCGATATAAATCTCAGTTACTAATCATCTTCCAACCATCAGCCGAAACGCCAATCACACTACACGAGAAACTCATTTACCTATCACCCTCCTATCAGGAAATTTGGAATCTCAAGGCCATAACATCCCTCCAGGTATCAAGAACCCTAAGTTCGTTTGGTGGAACCAATCTAAGGCCAGGCTGCAAGCATTACCTTTTGACAACGACCAAGAGCCGCCCACCACCACACCTCAGCAGAAGACATGGCCTGGGACTCCTCCAGCACCATCCTGACGTCCTCCACCTCCCTGATGTAGGGCACCCGCAGCACCGCCGTGAACATCGGCAGCAGCCCCAGCTCCTCCAGCACCTCTCGCCTCTTGCTCGTGCAGATCACCAGCAGCTTCCGACCCTGGGGTGACTCACTCATTACAACCCCATTCAATATATAAATATCTATGTTATACATGATAAGAATTACAACACCGTTCCTCGAGCAGCCAAAGGCTAATAATACTAAACTCAATTTGTTGTGGCGCTTATAAACGTCATGTTGTTTACTGAGAATTAGTGCGGGGTATTAAATACAGCACATCATGTATATACTACATCATGTATATACTATTTATACTGCCTTTCTGTTAGGACCAGTTCTACTACTGACCTTAGGAGGCGAGGACGACAGAAGCGAGTACATGGCGTCGAGCACAATGGACTGGTAGCGCGGGCCTATGGGGGAGTAGCCCATCAGCTGTTCCAGGTCGTTCATGAAGATGCAGCTCAGCTCCGACCTATACGCGTCGTCAAACATCTGAAACGAAACCTTCATATAAGCAAGCAAGAACTTAGTACAACACTTGCGAATACAGCCAAATACCTCAAACAAAACCAAGATCACGGAAAGTGTATGTTGATTGTTGAACGATGTTTTTGTAGATTTGCCGGTCATAAAAAGTAATAATTTCATTTGTTCAGTTGAGATTTCAGAGAAAATCTGCAGTATTGATCGAATTTGCTGATTCCTCTTACATATAAAAGTATAGTTAAGGGTATAGGTAGCCTTGCAAACGGCACAAACCTGAGACGGCAAACGTGAACTTATATAAAAACACTATAATCTATAGATCATTGTAAAGATTCGTAAATTTACACATATATATAGGTGATATTTATTTACGCTACAACTTTGTTGAGACATACCTTTTTGATACGCAGGCACTTGGAGGACTCTGTGTACCCGACCATTTCGCTCGATGTGATCACTTTGACGAAGGGGAAGTCGCTGTTCTTGGCGAGGTAAGCGGCCAGGGCCGAGGTGCCCGCCGTAGGGGCGCCCTCCAGCAGCAGACACAGGCGGTTGCTCGTCTCCGGGGACCTGAACGTAACGAATTTTTATTTCTTTTTATCATCGAGCATAGGCTACCTATGCATTAGAATCTATAGTTGAGTTTTGATGGCTGCACGCTTGCAAGGTTTATAAGTCGGACATGAGCTTCAGGGTGCGGGCCCATGTAGGTTGTTGCGAGGCTCTAGATACGTAATTTAATCCCATAAGGTAAGTTAAGGCTAATATGACACAATGTGCTAGTAGTAACGCCGTGTCTCAACAATGTTTCTACAGGATTCGTGTTAATGAAGAAATAAAAAATTGCACACAGAATTTTTAAAATAATATCGAAATTACATTGGTTGGCAGAAATATTTTAAGCGCAAAACATCTGAATGATGACATGAAGGAGTCGTTGTTCGCTGAAAGATGCCAAAAGCTGGCATATGTTGTATTCTGTTGCAATAAAACTACACTAAGTGATGCAAGGGAAAATATAAAACGGAGCAAAAAGCATAGATCAAGGAATGAGAAGTGTGGAGTACCACAAAGCAGAGCTTTATCTTCAAAGATGGTCTTCTCGCGCCGGTGTACCTAAGTAGCCACCTATGAAATGCCAGTTAGAAACTATTATAGAACTGCTATGATTTGAAAGTGAGGTATGAGGAAGCGAGTGTGAAGAAGTTGAGCTCACCGGGCCTGCTTGACGAACATGAGGCCCCGCTCCAGCAGGTCCCTGGTGTGGCCCCAGCTGATGATGCCGCGCTCGATGAACTCATTGAGGGCCTCATCGCTGGTGCCAAGGGAAGGCTTCACGTCGTTCTCCAGGGAGTAGATGAAGTCCGCTCGGGTCACCTGGGTGGTCAAAGTTAAACCATTATATAGGCAAGGTTCAACTATTAGCTGCTATACAGGATAGACCAAGATCAATCATTAGCTGCTTTTTAAATAGTGGGAGAAAATGGTAAAACGTTGAAGTCCGCATGTGTCATGAAAATTAGGAACTTGAAAAGGAAACTTTGAGAGAGAACCACCTTGAGCTTGTCGATAGCATCAGGATCCACTTTGATTTGGTTGCCAAGATGGATGTACCGTTTCAGGGCCGAAGAAGATGCAGCTTTCACCAAACCTTCAAGTTCAGCGCCAGAAAAATTCTTTGTAAGAGCTGCCAGCTCCGCAATATCAACATCGGGGTCCAGCTTACCGTGCGTGGCCATCTTGTTTGTCTTAATTTTAAGGATATCAAACCGGCCTTTCTCGTTAGGTAGCGAAATCTCCACTTGAATCTCTAGTCGCCCCGGTCGCATTAGCGCTTCATCCATCATATCTTTGCGGTTGGTCATGCCTATAACAAGAATATTGTTGAGCTGCTCAACTCCATCAATCTTGGACAGGAGCTGATTAACCACAGTGTCGTTGACGCCCGTGTTCCCAGCAACAGATCCTCGCTGCTTGCAAATGGCGTCTATCTCATCAAAGATGATGATATGCAGCCCGGAGTTTGGCCCCATCCTTTTCTCCTCTTCTTCGGCCTCGGCGAACAAGCGGCGGACGTTGGCCTCCGACTCGCCCACGTACTTGTCCAAAATCTCGGGCCCGTTGACAATCTTTGGCTCACGAGCATTCAGCATTTTACCGATCTGTCGCGCCATGAGTGTCTTGCCCGTGCCTGTGAACGCAATGATACTCTTAAATTCATATAATTAAGCATTTTTCGAGCAAATCCTATCAGTAGTTACTGATACAATAAGATTCGGTTTTCTAGTGCTTTACACATTTAAGCCGAATATACCATATTCAGTTACATCAAATCAACTCATTAGTGGCCACAGGCTTACTGCCTGATACGTGTTTGGAGGCGTATCGTTACACGTACGTTAGGAGTACGTGTTCTGAGTCAAATTCTCCATTCCAAGAATGGTGGTTCACCATGGGTTTCGTTATCTTAGTTTGATGTTCCGCTCATTTCCATGGGAAAGGCGGTTTGTCTGTGTAATGATTTGTGTATAGTTTTTCTGGCTTATGCAGGCGGTGATACTATCACGGTATAATGCTAGATCTCCCGCAATTTAGATATGGGCTAAATGTAATCAATAATAATGTTGCTTCGAGGGATTTTCTACAGCGTCTTGGCCTATGACTTATTGGAATGCAGAAAATAATAATATAATTATTATTCGCCTTATTAATTATTTTTGAAATAGTAAGGCGAGGGGGGCCGTTTGAACAGTCGGGCGGGTTCGGGTTCTAAGATAAAGGACAAGGTAAGGGGGCCATACAGCAGATGTTCATGTCCCCCCAAAACCACTACATACCAAGAGGCCCATAGAGGTTCTCAGACAAATGACAACGTACCAGGTGGCCCGTAGAGCAGGATGCCCTTGACGTGCTTGATGCCCATCGTATCAACGACCTCGGGAGGGAAGACCCGCGAGGCGAAGGCGCGTCGCAGGATCTGCACGAACTGCTCGTCCAAGCCGCCGATGCCCATCTTCTGGAAGTCCCAGTCCGCGGCGAACAAACTCGTGTGCGACTGCCGCGCCTGCAAATTGCCTCCACATGTTTTACCCAGAATAATTTAATCACTAATAAATATTTCTGATCAAGGCTGGAGAACAGAACCCATCGATCCATTTTCTCAAGCCAAGCCTGCTGCTAAGTATCTGTATAATTTCGATTAATTACTCAAAAAAGAAGATTGATTAAGACTAGAAAAAATTGATTTGGATTGAACCTGGTGCAAGTAAATAGGCTCATGTGCGGCAGTTGCAGCAACTGAAATGATAAGAAACAAATCGTTTCAGGTGCAGACTTAAATGTTCATGTAATAGATATTGCATCTAACCATGAACGTATCACTTTGAATTGATAAATATCAGAGGAGCAGAAACTTCAAGCTACGATCCTAAATCAGTATACATACATTTTGCTGAAAAAATTGCAGGTAATTTTGTGGTTGAATACTTGCTATGCATTTATTGACCTTGGCTTTGCCGGTAAGGAAGAGGGCCGAGCCCTCGGCTTTCTCGAAGATGATGGACGAGTTGGGGTTGAGGACCCCAAAGTCCAGCTTGCGGGGCTCCGACTTCTTGCCGCTTGCCATTGCGTCCATATCCGCCGCTGCACAAAGTCATTCATAATATTCATATACATAACATAAATAAACAAAACAATAATATTCATATAAATTACAATTCTGATTCACCTTATGTACCATTATAACATACAGTTCTCCCATACTCTTGGAAGAAGAGTATTACATATAGTGGTAGAAACTCTGACAGAACTTTTCACTTATTACGACACATAAGTGAACTGATCTTAGTAAGTAGTGTTATAACATAAAACCAATGGCTCATTGTGTTAAATAGTTAACCTTCAAATTTGCAAGGTCAAGTATGAAGTAATACACAGGATTTAAATCTATACCTAAATTGCGATTTGCAATATCGATATTCAAAAGGGTAGAAGAATGAATTAAATAAAGATGCATCAGAACTTGTCATGCTTTCCGGCCAAGGTATAAAAAATTTCACCACTTTTGATTATCATGTTGACTCGCAACAAAGCGAAGTGTTCAATCTAACACTGATATTGAACATGAGAATCCATTGCAAAGAAAATAGATGTTTTAGTAGTGAGCATGTTCTCCATCTATACCAATGGAAGTAATTTAAACTTGAATGCATGCGTTACTAAACGGAAACCTCAACGGCGATGGACGGAGGTGGCAGTGAGGCAGCCAATTAAGAAGAGCATTGCAACACAGCAGCCACACAAGCCACCATATTATCCCTAACCAAAATTTTTAAGCAACTTGAACACAATAGGAAGACAATTTACATAAACTGTTCCAGTTGAAATAGTATTATTGGAGACCAAAAACAGAAAACATACTTCAGTGAAGAAATATCTCAGTCGACAAGTCTGTGATGTATGATGTTCATTTAATAAAAGTTATTCTAACCAAGTCAATTGTTCCGCGCGCATAAGGCAACTAGGGTTAAAAAATTTGTTACCTTATTTGTAATTCCAGCATCTGGTATGCATCCTTCATTAGGATCTAAACCTAGCTCTGAAAAATATATAAAAAAAATCACAAAACCCACCTTCCATCTCCTTGACTCTGATGGACAGGGTTTTCTTGTCAAGGAACTTGAAGACGAGCGGCTGGCCAATGTGGTAGCCGTGGCGGGGGAACTGCTCCAGGAAGTTGACGGCCATCTGGTCGGTGTTGTAGGGCTCGTTGGTGGTGCTCTTCTTCTGCAGGAAGTCCGCCTCCAGCACCAGGGTGCTGATCAGCTGCCGCTGAGGGTCTGGCGTGAATGCCTCCACATTGATCTGTGGAACAAGAAAGTAATAGTAACACAAGATCTTGCCAGTCATTTTACTCCAAAGCTGTAGGAAATTTTGGACCACCTTAGACTGATGCAACCATTTGCGGTTAACACACCTGGTACAACTCAACAACAACAGTCTCCTCCTGGTCCATCTCAATAACAAAGGAGAATACTCCTGGTCCAGCTCAGCAACAGCAAAGTCTCCAGGTCCAACTCAACAACAGCGGAGACTCCTCCTGTTCCAGCTCAACAACAGTGGAGACTCCTCCTGTTCCAGCTCAACAACAGCGGAGACTCCTCCTGTTCCAGCTCAAAAACAGTGGAGATTCCTCCTAGTCCAGCTAAACAACAATGGAGACTCCTCCTGGTCTAGCTCAACAGCAGCAGAGACTTCTTCTGTTCCAGCTCAACAACAGTGGAGACTCCTTTTAGTCAAGCTCAATAACAGCAGAGACTCCTGGTCCAGCTTAGCAACAGCAGTGACTCCTTCTGTTCCAGCTCAACATTAGTGGAGACTCCTCCTGGTTAAGCTAAACAACAGCGGAGACTCCTCTTTGTCCAGCTCAACATTAGCAGAGACTGTTCTTTGTCCAGCTCAACAACAGCAGACTTCTTCTGTCATCCTTTCTCATGCATTGGTCCTTATAATAAGCTTCAAAAATGGCAAAGATAGAAGCCATTGTAGTGGTAACTACAGTTAAATTTTTGTTTTCCATTTGCAGGGTTAGTTGAAATGGCTATAGGCATGCAGAAAGCAAGTTGGGAAAACCGGTCAGGCCAGTTTTCGATCATGAAGCATCAAGATCCTTGCAAGAAGAATCATTGTTACCAGTTCCAGAACGGCTTCAGGTGGCCTCCATTGTAGTTGTTATTCTCCAGATCCTGTCACGTCAAGAAGAAGCCCAAATTCCATGGAGGCTACCACTGCATCAGCTCAGACCACAGCTGCAAGGTAGATGTGATGTGGTGATGCTGCCAGTAGATTGATTGTACTAGGTATTCCTGCAGAAGGATGCACTTGGTAATGCCAGCTGAGGTCAAATTTGTGTAATGCTGGTGTTTGTAGGAGTCACGCTGGTGTTTGTAGGAGTTGAGTGAATATACTATACCCGCATAGCCAGTACACAAGCATAGCCATTGGCTACATTTTACCCGTGCACAGGCAGTAAAAATGAGTGCTTGATGGAGTTTGTGGTTGGCTGGATGAGTTGGTCATTACTGACCAGTTGCTATTATCCCAGCTGAGCAATGGTTTTTGGAAGTAATGGCAAGAGTTGAGATGGCCGAGTAGAAATGATGCTCAGATTTTGTATGCCACTTATGACAGATTCTCTTAGAAGTGCTTTGATCATCACCATTAAGGCCTTTAAAATTGCAATAATGAAGTTTTGGGACTCTATGGATCTTTCAAGCACTGCAAATTGAAACAATGAAGTGACATCCTGTACTTTTAGAGTTATGCTGTTCTAGTGAATCTAGCTGAGTGTTATGGGCTGTCACTCATACTGCTGAGAGTGGTGGATACCCAAACCCACTTGGGGAAGTGACGCTCCTCCAGCTACAAGTTACTGCAATTTAGGCTGAATTGTGCCAATCATATTGAAATTACTCATTTTATTATTGCCAGTGCTCTTCTTCTCATTCTCTTTGCCTTTTTGCAGACCATTATTTCATGTGTCAGTGATGAATCAAATTGCAAATATCCTATCACCACTTACTTTGTACTTGCACTACTGCCTGTGGTTGGTGAGTAGTTGCTTATGTTTGCCAATATATACCTTTTTAATTACTGCCTGTATATGCCTCGATGAAGATTTTTATGCAGTGGTTGATACACTGTTATAGGTGGAGAAATATATTTATCTGCTATCTTGTATTATAGTTTCTGTGCATATATATTTTGAAGTTAATATTGATATTTGTGTTCAATAATGTTTGTGTTGTGTTGATAACGTAAATATTTTACAATGGTATTTCCAAGTGCTCTATTAAGCATCCCATGCCCCAATTTGCTGGTTAGGTTTGGCTGTTCTGCTTACCTGTTTGTCAGTTAGGTGGTCTCTTTTGGTTAGATTCCATCTGGTAGCCTGGTTATTCAATTTTGTTTCTTAGTAAGGGTTCCCATTTGCGTCATTTGCTGCTTCAGTAGTATCAAGTTCCCACCTAAGCTCAAATTTTAAGTACCCTAATATTTAAATATTACATCAGAATAAAATAAAGTTAAACAAAAGAGAAAAAACATCTTGTGGACAGGGCTGTTTATAAGGAGAGTTGGGAGGTTATCTTTTATTCAACATCTTGAGGTAAAGAACATTGAATATCTTACCCCTTTCAACTAATAAAGATGACCCATAACAACAGGAACAAACGACACAAACTATTTCAAGTTAAAAAAAGGATGCAAATAAAAGTTGCCAACACACCTCCTGGTCGAGCTCCACAAGAATTTGCTTGCGCTGGATGACATTGAAGCCAACATAGCCTGGTTTGACAGCACCATTGTGCAGGACTGTGTAGATTAAGGGACGCCGGTCTGGTGTTGTGATGCACACATACCTGCCAGCATCATCAGTATTATGAGATGCACATATAATTCAAAGATTACTGACTAATTAGCACGACAACAAGCAATACTGTAGACTTTAAGAACAAGTGCAGGTGCCAGAAAGTGGCCAATTACTACCTGAGACCAGACCACACAAACCCTACTTTACTTTTAAAATAATATATCACAAAAAATTGTTTCACATCATGATCTGCAACTTTTCATCAAGATTGTCACTCCAATAAATCCAACTTACAGCCCAAGAAACTAATGCATTACATATAAAATTTCTAACATCTGTTAATATAAAATTAAAGGAAACGCATGAAAATTCAAGTCTCATTCCATTAAACAAATCTAAACCTATCAAAGTGTCAAACAAGAGGATGTTATTTGGTTAAAAAAAATCATCAGTTAAAATAATGGTTTTTCTGGATTAGGGTACTACAACACATGTAGTGCAGTTCATCAAAATTGCTGAGGAATTTATAATAAACTGGAGCACAAATAATATCACAAAGATTCTATATGGAAGTGATTTATGGCATCAAATAATCCATCAAATGATATAAAAAATATAACTCAGTACTCACTGCAGTGAGTGACAAAGAGCGCATTTTCTCATCGACGAAAACATGAGGTCACGGACGGACGGACAGACAGACAGACGGACATGGCGAGCACAATAGTGCATTTTTTCTATAAATGAGAAAATGTGCTAAAAACAAATGAGCTTAGGAAACTCCATCTGGGGGAGAAAAGGGCACTAACCTAAAACATGATGCTAGGAAAACTGAACCCATCAACCCTCATAGATGTGGTACTTGTGATGCAGTTTTATTTCTCGCCCTGTGCTGTAGGCATATTTCAGTACAATTTCCTCTGTTGGAGCACCTCAGTGTCTGTATGCACTGAATATCTACTACTGCAATGCTGGTATACAATTGTTGAGATTATGATGCATGCTAGTCACCCATAGAGAGAATTGTCACTCTGGTTGATTCTACTGACTTTGGGTTGTTATGCTACTGCAAAATGTCTAAATAGGATGCATTTATATGATTTAAAAGCTACTGAAACAGAAAATTATCTGAATGCATTAGGTATGCAGTGTTTTATGAACCTATATCAAAGAACCTAAACCTGAATTTTAAAATTACAGTATATCTATTAGTATATATAATGTCTTACTTGACTTTTTTGCTGAAGTCTGCCTCATTGACTATCACACAGTTGGTGAGGGAGAGATCCTCACTGGGACACTTGGCCACCTTCATGATCTAAAAAAATGGCAAGCAGATATTATAATCATGATCATAGATTCTTCATGAGCTGCAAGACATTTTACAATGATTGCTGCTATGTAGAGATCGATCCGGTTCATTTAGTATTCAATTCAAACGGCCGCTCTTTGGACCAGTAAATTATTCCGAATCATAAGTGAAATTTTTTGAAAATGAAATTTTCCACTAAATAAGATTGCAATCATTGAGTTGAGGCCCAAAAAGAGTACAAGTGGATGATGCATTGCAGTCTTTTCCTAATCCCTGCAGCTAGGTCTGTATCCACAAGCCAGCTGCCCAAAGCTTTGAGATTTCAATTTTCAGTCTAGCTGCATACCAATGAGAAGGCTACCATAGGTCTTTTCAAACACTTCAAAATAGACAAAATAAATATACCAACAATCTATACAATTCTATGGCTCATGCACCAGCTACAAGAAAAAAATAATTAAATTAAAAGCTTCAATACAATGAGGATTAAAACAATATAAAAGTCATAAATCATAGGTGGCAGATAGTTTACAAATGCTGCACAGAGGAACCACAAATCAAGGATCATAATAAAATGAACCAACATAAATTATTTAAAGCTAAATGTCTAAAAAACATGCATTGTTAAGCATTTCCAGTTTGATGACTTGGCAAATTTAATATGAGGCAGAAAAAAAATCAGCAAACTTGGTTAAAAGACAGTACCGTAAAATGGGGTAACTTTGACCACTTTTTTTTTCAAAATGCCATTTTTTTACTAGATAAGTTAAACTTAAATTGAAACATGCAAAATCCAGGTATATACTCTAGCTTTACTCACCATAAATTGCTGGCTCCTGCTTCTCATAGTTTTGATGCAATTTCAAAAAAAGTGATGGTCTTTGTTACCCCAGCTCTTGGGGTACTAGAAGAGTTCTACTACAATGCATCAAAACCTGGAGTTATTTTACCAAAAAATAAAAAAATTGGAGGGGGTACTCTGACAGGCTTTAAATAATAACTCTTTTTAGTGGGTCACATTATTACCTATTTTTTAATTTTAACCTATTACTATTAGATATGCAAACTTTTTAAATCTTTCTATTGTGTTACATAGCCTCAGTATTAGGCCTTTGATGGCCATTGACATTTGACAAAATTTTTCTATGTAAAATCATTTGAGTTTTGGGGGTTTTTGTTAAAAAAACAAAAAGTGTTCAAAGTTACCCCATGGGCATGGGTCAAAGTAACCCCATTTTAAGGTAAGTACTATATTATTGACATAAGGTAGAAACACAGAGAAGCCAGATGAGCAAAAATAAACCGCATGTTTTAAAAAAATTGTTGAGTTGCCAGCAAGCATGGGAGTTTCCCTTCATTCACAGGCGGCTTCTTGCTTCTGACTGACTTCCAGAATGGGACAGAGCCTAGAGACATCATAACATTGCCTAAAAGACAAACCAGGCTCCATTGTGGAAGTGAGAAGTGACTAGGGCCTAGCCGCCTAGGGACTAGCCCGAGATAACCCACAGCCAAGGAAGAACTATGAAGGGCTCTGGATACTGGAACCTGGAGGAACTATATATGGTAACTTACCTGCAAAAGGGCTAACAGAGCTTTATTGCTATACATAAAAAATTGAAATTGTGACCAAGACTTTAAACTTAAAGAAGGGTGAAACCATGAACCTCATATTATTATTTTTTATCAAGTAATCTTGCTCTATAATTTTGCACAAATTTTGGAAAACAACATAAAATTTACCCCCTTTGTCACCCTCCATAGAATAAGCTATAAGCTATATTAGGCCTAGTCTATAAGACAATACTCACAAAAACTGTTTAGATCTTCAGGGCACATTCACTTCAATAGCATCCTTATTTGTTTGGTTTTTTGATATGAACATAAAGGCTGGATATGATTGCCCTTTACTGGCATTAGTGTTCTTTTTTTAATGTTGAGTCCAAAAAAATGAACTTAGATCCAAAAATTTCTGTAAATTAAAATACTAATGTAAACATTTTTTTAAATAAATTTTGATTGCAGAAATAAAAGTCATCCATAAATATACCTAGATGAATATATACTTAGCTACTCCCTTTCTGCAAGTTTCTACTTTATTAATAACACTAATAGTAATTGCAGTGTCAGTGATTATTACCTACTTGTAGGCCATAAGACCTATTGCGGTATTGCCAATTCTTAACATTGCAGAAATATCATAGCTTGTTGCAGACTTGCAAGTTGCAATAGTATCGAACCGCAACTCCCTGCTCTGATCATAATTACCTACTCTGAACTGTAACCACTGGGACACCTTGCCCACTAGTATATTGAAATTGAATATTATTCACTGAAACAGTCTGATGTATACTGTATTGCCTCAATTATAATTAAACATATCTGGTATGACAATAAAAAAAATCAAATTTTCGGTAGAAATTACAGGTTTAAAAAATAGAAACACAAAGTTGGTTTTTAAATCAAGACATTTCCAAGCTCTATGTCAGCTAACTCGTGCATGATTCATCCAAATTTCACAAAAATTGAAACTGGAAACGCACACAGACGTATAAAGTTTACATGACGCGCACTAGACGGCGGTACGGACACTCACGACACAAACAAACCTACTGTTGCAGCAGACTGAACTTAGAGCTCCACGAGAACAGTCAGGACAAATACACGCTACGTGTCGGTCGCTGGCGGGTCTATTCTTCAGATTACAGAGTTGCCGGATGGTAGGGCATTTTGACATCGAAATTTTCGAAAAAAGTTCACCAAGTTTATCTTCATATTCGCGATATTTATGCATACAAGAAGAAAATCTATTTCAAACTCATTTCTGTATAGTAGTAGTAAGATGGCGCAGTCTGAAAGACTAAGGTGTATATTGAACATTAATGCTATGAACTTTTCAAAAACATGACCAAATAATAATGTATTGCCTAAAAAATATTCTAATCACTTGATAGAAAACGAGCCAGAATTAATTGAAAACGTTCCATCCTAGGACAATTTGATATGAAAATCACTGGTCCAGATGACACGTCTTCACGACTGACCAAAATAATACCTAGCCTAACTAGTTTAAGTCGAATTGGCAATTCAACAAATTGTTAGGAGCATAGGGAGGATAATACCAATTCAAAGTTAATTTTCTAGTACCTCATACTAAAATGTTAAATGCATGGAGAAACTCTGCTGTAACCACTAAAAGTACTAAATAAATTTAGTCCCTTTTAGAAGGGGAAACTTTACAGTGTACTACACGCTCTGCCTTCGCTGGTTGTTCCTTGAAAGCAACCTATTTAAAATAAAAAGCCGTAACGAGACAATTTGGCCTCATAAATTTTGTAAGGCCAATGGGATGATAAAAGGCCATAATTTTTAAATTTGGCAGGTAAAGAACCATCTGGCAACCGTGCGAGTTGCGAGTAGGGTGTAGAATCTGATTGCCTACTGTCGCTGGCGCACACAACTGACAACTCGCCCCGTCCCCGTGTATGAGCAAGCACCTCAACTTGAGACGTACAAAACCAAACGGCGAGTGCTCTCTGGTCATCTGATTCTGATTAGTTGCAAGACGGGTATGACAGTGCGAGGTCAGTGATGTCACGCATAAGTAGGTAATCCTCTAAGCGTCACGGTATCGCGTGATGCTCTAGCAAGTATAATTGTCTGGAATTTTCCCCACTATATTAAAATTTCTCAGGTATATTAGATGGCGAATATTTTCGAAAATTTACTTGAACGAGTGAAGAATTCAAACGGACAATTTAACAACCAATCAGTTTCGTGCATTGTTCTACCGTTAATGATACAAGAGTCGCTGCATTTCAGAAAGCAATTTGATGGAGGAAATAGAATAATAACCGTCACTAAAAAACGAGTGCTCGCCTCTTCAACAGATACTGTATATAACTCGCCGCTGATTAATAAAAGCCATTTAGTAAATAATTCGTAATAAAAAGGCAACAGGAACTTTTTGAGAATGGACGAAAAAGTTGATTAGCTGATGAGTTAGTACGGCCTGAAATTGAAAAGATGAATTGAAATATGCGTGAAAAGATTCTTGCAAGCCAGAGAATATCTATCACGCCGAGGTACCTTGCATCTGACACCGATTTAGAAGATCTCGAATTCACTTGCGACATCGCTCCTCAGACTCACCAGAGTCCATCATAATGGAAACTTGCTCACAGTACGGTAATTACCAAGGCATCAAAAGAGAACAACAAGGTAATTATTACCCACGTAAATCTCTTCATACTTTAATAAGGAAAAGCACAACGAATTCTAACTTACAATTAAAAATGCAAGTTCACATTGAGGTAAATGAAAAGAAGTACACTGTAGCCTCATCAGTTAGTTGCGCATGCCATGGTGTATGTATATGCTGTCGACCGCGTGGCTGACGCAATGCTGGCCGGAAATGTTCCTAGACATTAGTCACCTCCTTCAGCCGCTAGTGTCATTTGAACTTTCTATCTATCACCGTCGTACTGCGCGTCTAGAGTCAAACGCGTTTCTAAATGTACAATCCCGATTGCGGCAATCTGTTTACGCGAGCTTTCGATCAAGCCGCTTGTTCGTCATTACCCATTATGCCGCCCGTTGCTACAGGATTAAGCAGTAACACGCACTCTTATTCCTAGACTTGATACCACGGTTTCCTTTCTGATGAAATCCTGAATATTCAAGCGAAACATTCTAATAGGATCTACACTGACGGCCAACCTGCCATCAAAATAAATCTAAAACGAGTTATCCGTATTGTTCGCGGCTATTGGTGAGGCTCGCGTGGCAACACAGGCACACCACTCTGACAGCCAGTTGCAGCGTCACTGAGTTTGAAAAGTGAAGGCTTGAAGTCATGATAAGCTGTGCATGGCTGCATGCATCTTTGCACGAGTAGTGTGCACTATGTGCAGCCAATGGATCACGTTGCGTGTGCGTGGCTTGTTGAAAAACAATCAGCACTGCCATTGCATCACTGCTAGATCTGATGCAACATCACACACTCGTGGGCAGGGCTGGGCAGCGCTACTTTGAAATGTAGCGGCGCTACCGCTACATGCTCTAAATGTAGCGGGCGCTACCGCTACCGCTACACCCACTAGATTGAAGCGAGCGCTACCGCCACCGCTACAGTAAAATGTAGCGCCGCTACATTAGCCGCTACAAAGGCCAAAATTATTGGAAGTCTCTAAATATTTATTGTTCTGATATTGGGATTTACTCATAAACATTTAATGGATATTTTCAAAACATTTCAATGCAACTTTATTGCAATAAACCTAACCGTACTAGTACGTGTTAGATACAGTAAAATGAGTAAATAAAAGTTACAGTTATTTTTATGTTTTACCTTCCCTATACATGGATGTGTACTTTAATCTATCAATCTAAAAAATTATCCACATATCCATATAAAAAATCAGTCCTTTTTAAAACGTTTTTAACACGTTTTTCTTAGCTTAGCTTCGCGTTTGTTTGTTTGTTTGTTTATTTGTTTGTTTGTTGTTAACATTGACAATGAAAGTTAGCCCACTTCTGATTGCTCTAGAAATCTGAGATTCGGCATGCAGGCTATTTTCGCCTAACAATTCCAGATACAATCATAAAAACTAGCAATTAGAGACCTAAATTAGCTTAATTGTGTAAAGTATATATAAACAGTATATATATAGTATGACGTGCGGGCGCTGACGTTATAGACGAGCAGGCGCTTACGCTGCGTATCGTCGATACGTACGTCAAGTCAAGTAAATTGGCTCGCAACAACGTTTTTCATGTGTAGCACAACGGACTAAAAAGGAGAAAATAAAATACTTAAAAAAAAAACTTTTTAAAAAACCACGTTTTTCTTGTGGACTAAAAAGTAGAAAATAAATTAACAAGAAAAACGTGTTTTTTTAAAAAGTATTTTTAAGTATTTTATTTATATGTTTCATTTTTGAGATTGGTAGATTAACACGTTGACTACGATTGCTTCATCTTGTACTATTATTTCATTTTTTGTACCGTTTTTAAACAGGGTTGCCAGACGGTAATTTTTTCCGGAGTTTTTCTCAATTGCCAATTTTAGGCAACCTGAATTGAGTATACCACTACGTCCTGGAGGAATACATTTCGTGGTACGCATATGTATGTACGTACCACTTCGTAGTCAACGTGTTAAAGTAGACATCCATGTATGGAAGGTGAAACATAAAAAATAACTAAGCAAACTGAAACATGAAAAAATACCTGTAAGTGGTAACTGGTAACAACTTAACAAGTAACAACTAACATGTTAACACTAGTAACATGCTGAGGTTGACAACATTACAGCGAAATCTTTCGTAGTTTTATTCTGTAATTTATATTAGGTGTGTATCATGCTGGTTTTTAAATAATATTTAATACTATCAAGTAAAATCTAAATGCTATATCTATAAATGTAGCGGTAGCGCTGTAGCGGCAAAACCTCGTATCGCTACTTAAATATGTAGCGGGCGCTACCGCTACCGCTACATTGCCTTAAAATTTTTAGAGTGTACACGTTGCATTTAGCTGATTAAGAGCATCGCGATTCCCCGACTATTGTCATTTTCTTAGAAATTTATTCAATGAAAACGGCTTAAATCGAATTTCAAAAATCAATGATGCGTTAGATCTTTTACATTAATCATAAATGACCACAATGTTATCCTGTAGTAAATTAACCAGAGTATCAATAGTGCTAGGGTTAACACTTTTACTGAAATCCCGAGCCAGCGTATATCGTTCCCAAAAATACATTCCAGCACGTCATAAATCAGACGAATTTCGTAGTGACATGTCAAAATAGATTTTAAATCGTGCACATTGACACAGTTGATCAGAAGAATGAGGATTAATGACTATGAAAGCTTAAACAATGATTGTTCTTCAACAACAACAACAACATAAAAAATTGAGGATTGGTCAACTATAAAAATCTACACGTAAAAATGAAGGCTGTACAAGG